TCTCTCAACCCTCGTTTGCACCATCAGAGTTCATACAGTACACCTTCAGCATAAAGGTCATGGTATAAAACTCATGAAAATACAGAAATTGTGCAAAGCAGGCCTGGCCCTTCATATTGTCTTTCACTAAAAGACAAAGGCACACGCTTCAACATTCATGATAAGAAAACATGCACAGCAAACACCCCAAATTAGCCGATGGAGTTACATGGTACAGTAAACAAAGCTCAGAAACAACATATGCCACAGCCATATGCCGAGAAGCCAAGGAAGCAGGGACAGCAGCCTGTGCAGCAGCCACACACCACCAAGAGGACACAAAGAGCACAGGAAAGGTATGAGGGCAGCATTCTTTCAGGCACTTGCAGCGCTGATATCAAAATCCTTAGGGCTCCTCATGCTGATGTTCCCGGAACCACCTGTCCTTACCAGGACCAGCTGTGCTGGGCACCCGCAGCCATCCCAGCCCGGGGTCCCTCTGTGCAGAGGCAGCCCCGGGACTGTTCCGTGCCCTCTGTGCTGCAGGGTGAGCGAGGACAGCACTGAAATAGGCTCTGGGTCCTTCTCTTCTGCAGCCACCGAGGATCATCATCTCTTCACCTGTCTGTGCACCTCTAGAGCCCAAAAAAGGCCCTGCACAGTGATCTGGGTCCAGCTGTCCTAAGGAAGGTCTTCTTCGAGCAGTGTTTTGGTGTCATTGCACACTGACAGTCTCAGTTGTTCCACACTCCCTAGGGAAGGGACTGTGGCTGTACAGCACTGCAGGGCAGTGGCAATTGCAGCCTTGCAGGGGCACAAAGCCACCAGCACCCCCCACACAGTGTCTACCAAAAAAGGTGCTGGAGCATGGGATGAGCAGGGGATGTTTAAACTGACCCGGTGCTGGAGGACAGCAGGCTGGCTTCCCAAACACCACCACCACAGCAGGCAGGGGAAGGGAGCCTACACATGACCCCCTGCTGCTTTGGAGCTGTTCAGGCCACCACTACTAGTTACTTCAAAGACTAATAGTTTAGATGAAACCTCAAATAAGTTTTCTTAAAATAATATTAAACAATGGTTTGGGGTTGGGGTTTTTTTTGAGAGAGTTTTATTAAATATACTACATCAATATCTTGTACTCCATAATCTTTTGACCACTCATAGACTGACTTGCTTAAAAATGTATTTTTTAGAAAAACATCTGCAAAATTAAACCTAAAAAAAGTACATATTACACACCTCTGGACAATCTGCATGTTAGCAAAGAATTCCTTTTATTATTCGACCCAAACAAGTACTTAAACAAGGAACATACTCATAAACAGGACACACTCCTTGATTATGGCACACCTCAAACTACTTGGACTAAAGGAAAACTAGTGCAATTGTTTAATTGCATCTAACAACAGAACAATAAAAATGAATTTGTATTCCTTTGTTTTTGTATTTTTTTTTTCCAAATCCATTCTATTTGTTCTCTTCCCGCCACAACAAAACCTCCAGTGGTTAGTCCTGGAGATTACTCAGGAGTCCTTACACTGCATGAAGCAAACTTCCCATGGGCTGATCCATGTTTACACAGAAGCATGCAAAGGAGGATACTGCAGTATTTGCAATGCAAATCTATTAAATACGTTACAACTGAACAACAAGGTGTCCCTTTAACACTGCAATTCTAGAGCCTTTATCTGTGGTGGGAGTTTCCAGTGTCTGAATTATAAAACAGCATACAATTTCAGAAACAGAAACAAGGAGTTTTGCAAATTGTTTGTGTTTTCAACTATGAAATCTTTCCGAGGGCCATGTCTAGCGCCGAAACCAAAGCCAGCTATTGAGTAGCCAGAAAGCTACAGTAATTGAGTACATGATCATTTCCCTCTTGGCTCGCTCTTTGTTCTCTTCTTCCAGAAGTTGTAGACGGCGATTAAGTTTGATTATCTAAAAACAAATAAAGGCTTTTAATACTTCATTAAAAGTGGCCAGACTTTTTTAGAAGCTTCTGAATAACTACACAAGATTAGCATCCCAAAGAGATGGATGTTAAACAGTTGATAATTTGACTTTCTACCTTCAGATCTTGCTGCCCCTAGTAAGTAGGAACAGAAATGGAGTCAGATTCTCTAGATTCCCAGAACAATATAGGATATGTGAGGGCAGTCCAGCAGGGGCACAGAGAGGATCCCTTGCCATGCCTGTTATGGATACCTTTGCAGTCACACAAAAAACCTGTTACCCCAATTTACCACTACAGCTTTGTCTTAATATTGTCAACTACTGTGCTTTACGTACCTGTCTTCTTAAGGAAGCAGCATCCACAACTGTCATGTCATCTGGTGTTCCCTCGAGTGTCGTGTCGAAGTTGGTGAGACCATATCTATTGAACAAAGAAGATGGCTTAGCTGTCTCAGCCACACAAAGATCAGCAAGTACCCTATTTTACCAACATTCCAGTAGATGTATTTCTTGGTGGTGATGATGAACTACAAAGTTTTTTTGCAGCTGTTACAGGGCCATATTTCAATAGGATCCTAACTGAGTAAAGCACAAACGCACATGAAATGGGTAAGTGCTTCACTGAATCGGGGTTGACTGCTCTCCACATTTAAATATTTTTGAAGATTCTCCACACAGACAGACTTCTTGCTGACATACTGTTCCTCAGAAGACTTTCCAGTTATTTAACTGATTCATGAAACCTGAACACTGCCTGAGCTAAAGCGCCAGTTGCAAGAGACCTCTGGCAACAGAGCAGAAATAACCAAATGGAGACTTGGAAAGAACTGGGTGTCTTACGCTCAGTACCTACTTAAATATCCCAAGGGGACATTTATTGAGATTAAGAACCTCAGTCACATTAATCTCAGTATTATAGGCAGAGAAGCTGGCAAATAAAGAGTGCAGTGCAGAATCACTCACTGCTTGCTGAACTTTGTGTGCATTAGAAAGTTTGTTCCCAGGGTACTCTCAGTTTATGCAGCACTTCAGAGAGAGCATTATTCTAACTCCAGGGCAAGGTAATTAAATACAGAACATTTATTATCAGTTGGCAAGTGGCAGAAAGTCTATACAGAGTATGTGTTTTGATCATCCAAGTGCTACCTCTTAATCAGATTCGTTTCCAACAACTAACAGGTAAATCCACCTGTTAGGACCCTCCACCTACCCTTGAGCTTCTCACTTTCTATCTTAAACCTGTTTTCAATTTTAGCTCCCCTTGACTTGCTTTCTCATTAGGACCCATGAACAATTGCTGCAAACAGCTTAGGAAATGGAACAAAATAATGTCAAGGCTACCAAATTCACAACAAACACACCTAAAAGAATGTTTAAAATTTAATGACAGTTAATGGCCAACTAATGAGAATATGAGTAGAATTCCTGGAGCTTGCAGAATGCACTTAAGTGCAGAAACTACTTTTGCACTTTATGTTCTTTCATCACTTTAAGGAAACTTCTCTAGAATGCCCTTAGCTCAGGCAACACCCTCCCCCCCAAACAGACAAATTGTCAAGTTTCCATACACCACTGTTTGTAAATACATTGTTTCTTAATAGGAATTGCTATTTCTAGATCAGAATTGCATTAGTCTGGACTTACAATAAATATGAGATCCTTGAGCTTTGCACACTCAAAAAAATAAATCGAGTTCTCCTTACTCTACAGGTCCTCTGAAATCCAGAGAGATTTCTGATGAGGGTCTTCTCATGGCCAGTTTTTTATTTGTAGTAGATGGTAAAAAATTTAGAAAATTCCACCATATCTACAGCACAGTTGTCCTTCACCATCTCCTGAGACAGGCAAGGAGGCTCAGCATTTCAGTGAGATGGGCATGGCTCCCTCCCAGGTCACACCAATTTAATATAGTCACAGTGTATCACTGCTGCTCTGCCAACTTCCAAACCATTCCAGATATTATATTAGGAGGGTTACCAGAATGAAATCCCTTGAGATATCTCTTGGACTATTCCAAAAACTGAATTATGGAGTTACAGAAGAGTCACCTGCTTGAATCCAGTTTCTATTTAAGCCTAAATCTAACCTCCATTTCTATGAAAACATGGAATTGTAAACAGGAAATGGAAACAACAGATGTAGAAGGGACTATTTTTTTTCCATCATTCTGCCCACGAGATTATGTGTCACTCTTACATCCAGTTCCACTGAAACAATGTCAGTCTGCCAGGACAATGGCAGGGAAAAGGCATCCAGCCACAACTAACAGTCACAGGCATGTTACTGAGAACACCTGTGAAAATTAGGTGATATAAGGCCAAATTTTCTAGCAAGCTCATTACTAAATAGCAAATACCTAAACTGTACTGCCAATGTAATTTCAGAGCCTCCTCTCACACATCAGTCTGAGTCAGAATTCTGCAGCATGTTGTATCTATTGGACAACTGAGGCCTGTGCAGGTGACTTGGATGGGTAAGGAATAAAGGCCTGAAATATCTCAAGAGTTGAGAGGGAGCACAAAAATATTGTGTTTTAAAATAAGATCACTAAAAAGAGGGAAACAGAAACCTGAATTTTAGAATCTAAATTAGGGGGTCATGACTAACAAAAAAATACTCTTTACCTGGTGTTGTCATGATGAGGGTTAGAGGAAGTGGTAGCAGCTGACCCACCACGTAACACTGGCCTACAGCAGGTTTGTGTAGATAGAAAGCACGAGACAGAAACAGGAAATGACAAACAGAGATAAGAGGTAAAACACAGAGAACAAAGGAACTTCAAAATACTTCCACATATACTCTATAATGTTTTAATACAATATACCTTCTATTTATTTTCTTGTAAATTGCACTTTCGTATTCTTCTTATCAAATTTAATCAACACTGAATGTTTTTTGCAGCTAAGAAGTGTAACAAGTTTTTGATGATATAGCTTCATTTATGGAAGACAAACTAGTGGAATAGAGATTTGGGTGGAGATTATCAGCCTTATAAATAACCATGGGAAACTTCCAGTTAAGAAAACAACAAAAAAATACCCCTTGAAACTAAAAATCTCACCCAACAACAATGGGTAAACAATAAATGTATTTACACATACTTTTAAAAGCCCTTTTAATCCTCCTCTCCTCCCTCTAGGGAAAGGGGAGATTTGTCTTTTTTGTAGTCATCTATGCTAGATATAATTTAGATATAATTAGAACACCTGGGCTAGTACCTAAGGACCATGGATAGTCTGAAGAGAGGTATACCTCTCCAGGAAGAAGTGACTACAAGGTTCAAGCAGATGTATGAACATCTTTGTAAGTGTTGCTCTTTAAATTTCTTTTTCTTTTTCTTCCTAGGCAAAGAGGAAGGAAAGGTAGGGCTTTTTAAGTTGCTTCAACTCTATAATATACATTAGGTTTGCAGTAAGAAGCTCCTGTGTTGCAGTTTACAGAAGAGGTGAATACCAGCAGTACCTTCTGACCAAGCTGGTACTGTGTTTTCAGTGCCTCTGGTAATGAGACATTAGTGTTGCACATCACAGATGTGGAACAAACTGTTCAGGAGCCTGAAATTCCTTTTGTTTTCCCAATGCCAACTGGAGATACTTGTACCATGCAATTAACCCACGTATACTGCAGGCTGTAACATTAAACACAGAGAGAACCTTGGTATGAAGATCTTTACAGCAGGTACATGTAAGAGGCAGAGCTCTGGTGCTGAGGTAGCTGGGAGAACACTGGCCTGGCCTGAAAACCAGCAAGGACCATGCAAAAATATCACAACCACGAGTTTCACTTAAAAGGATCAGGATCTAGGAGCCTTGGCAAACTCTGCTACCTGATGCAATACTTACTAGGACTAGGTCCTACTCTGGTCAGCACCATAAATGCATACCACAGTGTTCTTCCCTCTAGTACTTAAGATAAGCCAGCATGATGTGTTTTACAAAACAGGAAGTCCCGTTTCCAATACATACACTAACAGAATATTCTTACCTAAATGCATGAGGTCTTCCAAAAAGTTACCAAAAAAAAAAGGTATTCCTAATAAGAGCAATAATTCAGGTAGCCTGAAGTATTCACTGACAGATGCTACAACTACATACTTTAGGAAGTGTAAGAAATGGAGCAAACAGCAGCTATGGAAAAGGTCCCAGAATTTCTCTGCCAACAAAAGTCACCTGTAACTAACTGGCAGATATGGGAATGCCAGTGTGCCAGTATCCAGCACGCATTTCCCACACCATTGTCCCACAGGACAACATTTGGAATTCGTGTAATGAGAACAACAGGTCTCAAATGCTCTCTAAACTCGGCCTTCTGTGCTATTTTTCAGCAGAGTTTTACAGATGTTGTAGAATTAATGACTATTAATTCACAATACCCTTTCCAAGAAAAGCCAAGGCTTGGAGGCAGTTGAGGGCTACAGCAAGGCACAAACCCAGAGCATTCTGGGATCTGTGTAAGTCTTTAATCCCACTTTCCAACACAGCCAGGCTGTTGGGAAGCTGCACATGATTTCTTCCTTTTCTCTGCAGTTCACATTTTTTCTTTACAGGTGAATCCAAAAGAAACACCACAATATTTCCCTACCTCTCCTGCACTCCTTGCTTGGTTTTATATATCAGATTTGATTATACAGATCATAGTGGCCTCATAACTGAGATCACCTTACCCCAAAATCAGCAGCAAGTTTTTTGGTAAATACAGAATGTGCAAGTACAATAAAAGAAAGCTATTAAATTAATGGCCTTCTTTCAAAAGAAGTGTACCATAGAACTTTGAGTTTTCTGGCTACTTCTTTGAATTCCATCCTAAACATTAATGCATGATCAGAAGAAGCCATAGTTCCAAGGTCATGTGTACTCCCTGCAAATACAGCAGCAGCCTGAAACTTGAGGGGAATGCACAGTAATACAATTTAATAACAGTGGGAAAAGTGGCACTAAGGCAATGACCAACTAAGCCTGGTCTGTCTTCTGCTGGTTAGAGCAGAGCATGCAACAGGAATACCACAGTGAGGATGGAATCAAATACATGGGCTGGGAGGAAAACAGCAAAGTGTGGACAATCTCAGTACCTGGGTCCAACCTGCACCACTCCTGTGCCTGCACACAGGGGACTGAGACCAGCACACACCCTCTGCTCAGCAGAGGCAGTACCTGTGTTCATCTCTTGCTGTACTTTAAAACACCTCTGGAAGTCTCACAGAAACCATAAGAATGGGCAGTAGGACTTGATGGACAAGTTCTGGACATGAACTGGGTAAGCTTCTAAAGTACAGAGAGGACAGTGACTGGATCAAACTGCTCCCCTTGCCTGCCTCAGTGCTACAAGCAGTTACTTCAAACAGCAATAGCTACTGCTTTTCCAGCCTCCTTCACATCTGCAGACCCACTTCATTTTCTTCGGAAATTACCCCAGTCCAAAGCCAGATGTAGCCCTCTTGGATAGCCTTAACTTGCATCCCATTTTATTTCTACAATGAAAAATATAATTAATTTTCTCAATATAAAAAATAATCTTGTTACATCTCAGGACAAGATTATGTGGGTGAAGTTTGGCATTTAAAAAGGATGGTGGCTTTTTAGAAGAGATATCATAAAGGAAATATTAAGTTTTCATGCTTTTTTCTCATAAATAAAAAGGTACTGACCCAAGAGATGAAGAACACTTTAGATAAAGTACAGATTTCAACACAACTCTAGACAGATATGAAATTGCCTTTATTCCTGCATTTAAGACATCTCTAAAATCTCCTTAAATGCAGGGAGTTTTTTGGGGGCTTGTTGGTTTGGTTGGTTTTGGATTCTTTTTGTTGCCTAGAGCATAAAGGATCAGTCTTTGAAGGGCACTCAACAGGCGTAGGCCCTACAGTCATTTGAAAGAAATTGAAACAGAAAAAGGGTTAGAAAACAAAACTGACCTATTGTCCTTGTCCAAGCTGAAGGAAATGCAAGAGCAAACAGACAGTGTAAACAGTGATCATTAAATTGTTGCTCATTTAAATAACCATTATGTGAGCAGTGCTGGCTGAACTAGGCATAACTCATTCTCTGCAGCAGGACAATCAGCACCTACCGTTAGCAGTTTTAGTGGATTGGAAAATGTTTGGGGGAAAAAAAAAAAAAGACAAGCCATGAAACAAGTTAAAAATATTTCCAGTGAGTAACCCACAGCCAGATCTTGTTAACTTTAAAAGATCCCTTCTAGCATTAAGCATAACATGTTAAAAGAGATAAGGTTTTGAGATAGAAAGCACATTACACAGAGCAAAAGAACAGAGTGCAGGTTTGGAGCAATTTAAAATGAACAATATTTTGCAACCATGCAAGTGGATCATCCAAATTTCACATTCCTACGCCAGATGTAATGGTGGGTGTCTGAACACCCAGCCACAAAGAATACACTTCCACCTTATTGAAGAGTTCATTCGTTTGGCACCTATTTGTCCATAGGGGACTAGAAACAGGTTTCCCATTCCTTCTAGGAAGGTTAGTGAGAAAACCTCAAAAATTAACCCAAACCAGGGTAAGTAATGCAGCTTCTGAAGTATTCAGTATTCTAGAAATTTTCTGATAATGGAAGTAAGCTGAAAGTGTATGTATGCACATGTGTTTGTTTTCCAGACTCCAAGAAAACATAGGCACGAATGTGCGTAATGGAAGCCAGGAATAAAACCTGTAGCTCCACTGCAGACTGAGAAAAGGACTAGAATTTCAATCTATATTTTAACAAGGATTCTTGGCACAGTATCTGTAAGTGCTACTGTTCACAGACAGTACAATTCCTCCTTATCTGGGAGCTTTAGTTTAGTAAAACAAACATGTAATTCCATCTCCTTTTAATATTGAAAAGGAAAACAAGTTATTGATGCCCAACTCTTGACAGGTATCAAAATTTTAACAGCTACAGTTAAGGACCCAACTTGCAGAATTTCACTGGGAACTATGCAGCTAATTTTGTTTGATTTTTTTGAGTCCCACTTTAAGAACATAAAGACTAGCAAGACTGGAGTTCTCTGCAATTCAGGGATGTTAATATGGGCATTTATTTACTGTCAGATCAGCAAACATGGTGAGCTATCAGAGGTGCCAGTTTGGCAAGTGACTGCAAACACACAGACATTCACAGTAAGATTGGTTTGATAGTCACATTTCATTACCAAAACAACCAGGAAGCAAATAATTTAACTTCACACTACAAATATTAAATGTGCTGCTGGGATATCAGCAGAGGCAGATGGCAAATTTCAAAGAACTTGCTAGCACAGGCCACACTGAAGGGCTGCAGGAGCAATGTGCAGTTCCTCCCAGTGTTCTTGCCAACTATCTTCTCTAATTCAACCTCTTGGCAAGCCCAGAGGTCTGAGATAACCCTACACTAGAGACTGTCTGCAATTCTTACCCGAATTTCTGTGCTAGCATACTACTGAAACGAAAATTGCTTTTGGTAAATTACCATTGCCATTATCAGTTATTGTAAATGTCTCTATAGTGTTAAACATGCCATTCTTGTAGTGCTTACAAGTGCCAAATCACAGCAGTCCAAGGATGCATCAGGGGGGTAAAACTCCACTGAAGAGAATGGAAGTACAGGGGTTGCCACGAGGCTTGTTCTGGTTCATCACCTCTCAGAGTGTCAGGTTATCCATAAAACCAGAGACAGCAATAATCAGAGGAGCAACCAGCCTCTTAGTGTTCATTGTCTTTCTTGCTCTCAGCATCCAAAGTGGCCACCATCAGTCAGGTGTCAGCCAGAGATAACTATTCCCAATATAAACTGAAACAGCCTCAAGTCTTAACACATTACCAAAAGCAGCATCTACAATGCCTTGCATGATATTCTGCCCTGTGTCTGCACATTTATTTTAATGCTTTATTACAACATCAACCCAATCTTATTGATTTGCACCACTGCTCACCAACAGAAAAGCAGAAGACAAGGCTAGTAAATTTGCAGGCTCAGGGTCAAGTGTTAATTGCAGAAAAGGCTGACAATCTCAGAAGAGCAAAACCCCCTGCAGCCACAGGCTAACCTTTCCTATTTTGATTTTTATTTGGAAGGGAACCAAAACAACCCTATATTTGAAACAGAAGCATTTTGAAATGTGAATTTTGGACATTTAAATTGCTTATGAAGAGTGAAAGCAAAGGAAAGCAAAAGCAAATATTTTCATCTCATTATTTTGTAAACAGAAACCAAACTCCACTAAAAAGGAGAACAGAAAAAAAAAAAAAAAAGCAGCAAAAGCTGGCAAGAACCAGTGACAACCAATCACCTGCGGTTTTCATCCAGCACATCCAAGACCTGCTGGTAAGCCCTACGAGTGGAAGACTGGATAAACGACAAAATGCCACGAGCAGAGTAAAGATTAGTTCCGTCTTCAGGTAACATATTGGGAGGACAGACACGAGCCTGTTGCAGTGATGGTGTCACACTGTTTGTATAAGCACAGTAAATGAAGAGAGAAATACTGTAGTCAGATTTTAAATTAAAAAAAAAAGCTTTTCAGATAGACCCCATTCCAAAATGCTTATTGCTTGCTTTTGGTTTACCCTTCTCCCACCATTATAAGGTTACACTCTCAAATTTTAGTAGTGTAGGGATTATGAGCTACATTTACATATGTTCTTCAGAAACAAACACATGTAATCCAAGGACACAGTTTTGATCTGTTATACAAGTTAGTTTTAAAAAGTGCTTGTACAGCTAAATCTGTACCTGTTGAAGTCAGTATTCAAGTCCCTAATGACATCAATGAGAACTGTCTTAAAAAGCATTAGCATTTTAAGAAAATCCTACACAATCTCTTTTAAAAACACAAGCCCTTTTCAATAGGGAGAATCTCACATAGAGCCCCTTCAATAAAATTGTTTTGAAGCTGTGATGAAAGATCAAGATGGTATTTTGGTTTGCACATAAACAAGTTTAAAGACAACTACAACAAATTCAAGAAATAACACAAAATTCATATCCCAGTGAAAAAAATTACATGATATAACTTGTTGACTGTGATGCAAAAAATATTACTTAAAATATGCAGGACTGACATTCAAACATGATCATTTGGATTATACAAACCTTGTCTATCAGAGAGAAATTAGTTTTGATAAACTGCCTGTGATTTCCTCATGTTTCTTTACATTCAAACTGACTTTATCCACATTTTTGTACACATATAAAGGTTCTTTATTTTTTTTAATCTGGAAACTTTAATTAAAGGTGAGATGCTTTTTTAATAGGAAGAAATTTGTGTTAACTTAATTGTACATATTAACACAAATGCAAACCAAGTGTGAGCCACTGTAGCCTTTAAATATTGGGATAGTTTTTATTCCTAGATTAGCAGCCATAAATCAACACATTTCCTTGCCCCTTGTGCTTTGCTCCAACAGCTTTTGGGTTTAGAATGTCAATCTTTCTGCCCCTGGCACTTTTAGTAAAACATTAGTGGCTGAGTGATTGGAAGCTGGTTTGATATTTGGATAATCTCTAGCTGGGTGAGAATTCTATGGATACTCTCACACTGAACAGAGTTGCTCTGCAACTGGCTGGCACCAAGATCACAAAATTGAGCAAGAAAGAAAAATCAGTTGAACAGAATGATTGAAAACACGTTACAGGAATGTCACTTCATCCACAGCAGAGTTCAGCCATCCTGTGCTTCAAAGGAACTCAAAGACTGCAGTGACTGGTTCCTGACTGACACTGGGAATTGTTTATTACCTGAACTGCAGATTCCTTTTCATGCTGCCCTAGAGCACATTTGGACAACAGCAAGTAAGAAGAAGGATACAACAGTAAATAACTATCTCTTCTCTACAGCTTTTATTGTTCTCCAGGACTTGCAGAATTCACCTTTCTCCTCTATTTATGGTGACTTCTACCTTGCAATCAATGATAGTGGTCACACCTACACATTCTACTCTTGAATTGTGCTGGAAATGCCAATGATCACTAGAAAAATATCAAGTAGGGGCAAGTACTGAAATATTGCCACTAAAGGGAATTTATGAGAATTTTTACTCCTTGTGGATTTGCTGGCTTGAGGCAATCCAGGGAGAAGCTTAAAGCTTGAATGCACAGTATGTTTTACTTCAAAAGCAATTTTTCCTGTTCATCACTTCAGATATGCACAGAATAGGCTGAAAGATAGTTTTGCAAAGAGTATTTAGACATACTGCAAAATAGATGACATTGTGGAATTCCTGTTGCCCAGAATGGTATCACCATAAATACCACAGTAATGTTATTTGCACACAAAGACTTCTGTAGATACTAAAAGTATTTTAAGAAGTGAAAAAAACCCCAACCTAATTTAACAACAACTGTACAAAATTCCCTAGAACTAAGTTACATGTGCTGATTAAATTCAAAGTGTATATAATAAGGAAAAATCAAAAATTGAGAATAATTCCATGAAGAGCACAAATGCCAGGGAGAGAGAAGCCAAATTTTATTTCCATCTTCTTTTTTCAGGGTTTGAAATTTATGTCCTGTAAACATATAGGACTCCTTTGAACTATGTCAGAGACCATAGAGAAGAAATATTATAAAGCAATTATCTGATATACAAATCAGCCCAGACGACAAAAGAAAAAAAATCTCTAACATATACCTCGTATGAGCACATATCATTGTTGTGGCTATGCCTCTTCTCCATTTCTAGTTAAATGGTCTTAGTTTTAGGTATAACTTTGTTTCAGATTTCTGAAAAGTGGCTCCAGCCACTTATTTTACCACTCCCTGGTTACCAACACCAATCAATTCCAGAGTTTGGAACCAAACCAAACAACATGGAATTACAGTCCTTACTATGAAAGTGTACATTCTGCTACCTGCAGAGTTCTTAGCTTAGCAGTAATCTCTCCTAAAACTTCTCAAAGCATTTGTGATGTACACAGGCTTTATTTCAGGTATTTCTCTGACTTGCAGTTCTGGAAGTATGAAATGACAGGTAAACAGATTTAACTAGTTAAGGTTACTTTAAATTCGAGCACATAGACAGACTGTATTCTTGTTAAAGACATGCACACAATCACCTTTTCTCCATGATTTGCATGAAGAACAGAATTTCTCAAACCATGACATTGAAATTTTAGAGAGATGTGTTTTTCTAAGGAAAAGGCTGGAACAGAAAAAAAATTAAGTGCTGTCCACTTTCCATGCACTCTTGGTGATTTGGTAACTTCCAATACAGAAGTGTAATCCTTGCATTCAACATTGTCTGGCAATGACCAACAAAATGCTTGGCTTCTCCAGCTATTCAAAACCAGCCACAGAACAAAGAGTCAAACAAACTACTTTGAAATTTAATTTTTTTTACTGTCCCTTTCATTTTCCCTATGCTCTTAATGAGGGGAAATGATATGGCCAAGTTTGAGAAACCCTGAAGCAAAATTAGAAACCACACATTCAGTGTAGCAAAGGCTGTTTCAAATTTTATCTTCTAAACTACAGATACTTAGTCAGAATATTAGTATTGCAGAGAGCTACGTAATTAAACACACTCTTGATTTTCATGTACCAGGTAACATTTAGGCTTACGTGCAATCCTTAGTCGAAAGAGGTGACTGGAACCGTGGCATTTTATTTCTTGGGACAGTATCTGATCTGTGCCACCTTGAATAATAATTGTAATCTCTTAAGTAAGCATCCTTATAAATAGAGGGATTGTAATTTAGAGAGCTGTCACTACTGCTATGCAGACAGTTACTGTACCACCAGGTACCTACTTGTTAGTCTCAGGTTTTCTAAGAGCAGTTGGGAATTACTGTCTTTAGTGAAGCCTAAGTGCCAAAAAATTCTCAGAACTGTCTCTGCATGCAACTGGATGACAAGAAAGGTAACAGAAGAGAAACTACTTGTTCCATATGGAGAACACTGTGATAGGGAGCCCAGCCAACTCTGCTTCCATCTGACAATCTATTCCAGAATATTTAATTTTGTCACTTTGTAAGCCAAGCACTGGAATTGCACGCAGTACATCTGAATATTTTGTCCAAGGAGGACAACGATGCACTAGATTAAAACTTCAGAATTATAGTCTTGTTTAGAAAACAAAGGCATTGAAAGGCATTGCTCCCTGTGCCTTTTAATGGAGTCCTCATCCCAGCATCTGAGCTGACTATCATGTCTGTCAGGGAGTTGAATCAAGGAGGTAAGAGAAACAAGTGTTTAAAAAAAAGGTTTTGGGTTTTGTACAGGAATTTAATATTTCAAGTAAAACGTGGACTTTCTTTCCTATTTGAAGGTGTGAACTAGACTCACACAAGCACAGGAATAAAGAGCTGATCTTTGTCAAGTTACAGCACCATAGCATGTTACTGCAGAAGTAAACTATGTAGACATGATACGAATTCACAAGTCAAGCCAGTTTTGATGAAGCAGCAATGTATCATTACAGTAATTATAACAAAGGCTATTTTTTTCAGCCAAAACCACTAGATGTAAGAACTTTAGGTGCAGTAAGTTTCTTATGGCTTTGTACCATTGGAAGATATAGTATTTCTAGATAGTAAAGAAATTTCGAGGTGATATAAATGAGGTAACAGGTGCACAACTACTTTTCTGTAGTATAAAGATTACATTTACATGTATTTACATTTACTGCATTTGTGTGAGCCACACAAGTTCCCCTGGGAACATGGTATTTCAGCAACCTGAATTCACAGAACACTCTCCTGGAGTGAGCCAGTCCAGTCACATTCTCCACTTGGAGACTGACAAAATCTAGATGAGGGAGAAACATCCATAGCATGTTCAGAGCAATTTCGTCTTTTGTATTCTACCAGGTCAGAAGAAGCAAATTGTCAGAGAAAGAAGCAATTTCTAGGAACCTCAGTGATTTCAAGGCATGTGATCTACACTCGAGACACAGCATAACTTCTCTCATAAGGAAACAAGAACTTGGGAGGACAAGAGAAAAATGAATTTCTACTAAAATGCACCATCTGCAGGTCAGCAAGTGTGGAATGCTGCAGTGGGGAAGGACAGCTTCTTCCACATGGGCAGCAGAGAGTGTGGATACAGCAGGGTCACTATCAGCTAGCTGGGATTTTTCATGCAAGCAAGAGAAGAGATCCTGGATCAATCCAAAGGACATGCATAATGTAAAGTGCTTGGCACTGGAAGTTTGATTTATGTGACAGACCTTATGCAAGGACTACCATGGGTATCAAGAGAGCCAAACTACTCTCCAGGGGCGTCATAATTTCCTGGCTTTTGTAAATGATAAACTGAGTCACACCACCTACCAGTTATATGTTCTTTGATCACATCCTTTTTAAATTTACAGGATTCCAGGTGCATATTGTATTGCTAAGCTTCTGAAGGACTGCTAGTAGATTCAAAAACTGTGACACCAAATAATACTCAGACCATTTTAAACCAGTAATTCTATACATAGCTACTGAGTGACAGCAAAGCACACAGGCGAGTTTTAGAGATTTAGGATTTCCACATTCAAGAAACCCCAACATGTGATAAAGCTGACAGCAACTGGATACATCCAGTCAAGAGCTGATGTTGCTATTTCCTCAGATGTCTGGCTGGGCAGACATGGCCCATGACTTCTGTAAGATTAAACTAACCTGGGAGCAAGTGTAAAGCGGTATCAAGGAATCACAAGAATTTCTGTACCATCTGTTCTTGCTTTAAGTGCAATACATCAAATATGTCAATACTGGCAAAGCAGCACCAGCAGCAGCAAAGGGATCAACGTTTTCCCAAGCAGCTTCCATCACAAAAAGACCATCATGTACCATGTGCAAGCCATCAGACAGGCAAGAGAAAGCCATTCCTGCAGTGAAATTGCAGTATGTCTGGTTCAACAGGACATAACTGGATAACTGATACCACAGGGAACTTGGGCATTTAGTAGGTTGACAGAACACCTGGAGACTGAGCTGAGCAGGAGATAAGGATGCAAATCTAGTTTTGCCAGCTCAGTGAATATGTCTGACTCTGCAGACTTGAGTGCCTAGACATGTGCAATCCATAAGCTTGTATGAACCAAAAGTCTGATTAAGAAGAGGAAGATATGAAACAACATTTCCATAAAGATGTGGAGGAAGAGAAGGAGACTTATGTCTGGAATGTACAGAGTCCATTTCACTAGCTTTAGACAAACTAACAGGTAGACAGGTATGTAGTACACATAGTGCCCTTGCTCTAAATAGAAGAAAACAGGCATTTCTAGGGCATAATTCACTTGATCTACTTTAGATTAAAAATAGGTAGATCCAAAGTAGGTCATGTACTTATTTTCCTCATTACTGAATATTAAGTTTATGGTGATCTAGCAATACTGTTACACAGTCTACATTGGGACAAATGAATCCCATCTTTAAGTCTTAAATCTAAAATCTTTTCTAAGGCAAGTATTCCTTATGGCAGTTGTATTAAAACTCACAAATAAAAGATTCCTAAGTGTTACATTGCAAAACCAGTTATTTCCAGGTGAAGAGATGCTGTCACTTAGAATAAACTGAGATTAATCAAAAGCTATCATATCCAGTAAAAATTTACAGGCATGTATGTCTTCAGAAAGCACCCTAAGAATTACTGCCTTGGATGGTAACAGTAGATGAAGTTTCCAATTCTAAATGCTACCTGCTATTTTGGTCTCAAAAGGTTAAGATATATATCGACAGATTCCAATATATTAAATATATTGACACCAAAGAAAAATTACTTATTGTAATATTTATGAGGAAATAAAAATACTTCTTCTTCTAAGAGTGAAAATCATTATAATATGAACAGTGAGAGAACTGGGAACATTTTGATGTACAAAGAACTCAATTTCCTGAAAATTCAGGGGAAAAAATATTCTACCAATTCAGAAACTGAAAAATCTCCTGAAATAACAATTGATGGTAACTGGTGAAACTGTGAACCTACAAACACTTCCACCTATCCACTGCAAGAAAAGACTTCACAAATTACTCACCTCACTAAACAAAAAGCATAAGAATTAAGAAAAATGCTGGCCTTGTACTTGTTAAAATGATGTACTTGCCACAACATACAAAATATTAGTTGGAAAAAGCAAATAACAAGGAGATAAGGAACAAAGGAGGTGTGTAACAAAGCTCTAGCAGTGTCCCTGCACTCTGCTGCCCTACTCACATGGAGTCATTCCGGGCCAGTTGGCCGTTCTGCCGCGTGGCGTTTTCGCTCATGGAACGTTCTCTCTTCAGTCTTCCCACTGAGCGGACCTGCATCGAAGGGAGAGAGAGGGACATGAAAGACAGAGAGTTCCAGGACACAATAATGTGCAGTGGAGGTCTGCAGGTTAGATCTGCCCTCAGATACAAAGGCATGTTTTCATGGGTTTCACAATGATAAGGAGGAAAACAACTGATGACAGGATCTGATGCTTGTACATGTAAAACCAAGCTCCAACCTTATTGCAATCCTGTTATCTATCCATGTGATCTGATGCCAAAATGATGAACTGACAGAATTTTTAATAGTCTCTGAAGATATTCAAAAGCCCTCTGGACACAATTCTGAATAATGTGCTCTAGGAGACCCTGCTTGCGTGGGAAGGTTGGACTAGATGACCTCCAGTGGTCCCTTCCAACCTCATCTGTGCTGGGATTACTTCCTATCATGAGAGAGAAATGTATTTCTACTGTATTTTGTAAGTCTACGGAATATGCAGCTTCATAAATATTTTTCTGGTTTTAAAATGTCAATTACCATCATTCACCTGGATGCCAATGTCATACCATTCTATGAAGTTGGTTTGCAGAGTTCTAACAAAACTCATTAATTCTGTGTGGTGTTATATCATCTGGCCATGAACTCCAGAGGTCAACTATGCACATTAAAAGAATGTGTAGTTCTCTAGTCTGTTTTCTGATAATCTGTAAATTAAAAAAAAAAAATCTTGCAGTTTTCTCTTCATCAAAAGGATGTTTTTTTAAAAGTATTTTGAGTAGTTCTAACTATGACTTTATTTTTGTAAGTACTGAGTAAGCCTACTGAGCATGGCAGCCCCATGCCATCTGCCACTTCAAAGGCATCATCAGAAGTACCACAGTGCTAATAAAAATATTTTTAGATTTTCCCAACTTATGCTAGCACCAAGTTGATCTTCACCACAGTAGAGAAATCACTGGTCATTTCACTTTGTTTAGTAGTAGAATGCTTCTCATCTAAGGAAAAAGCAAAAGAAGTACTGGCCTCTTCACTTTGAGGTGTCTGCTGTGGAGGTTTTTCTAGGTCCAAAAAATCTAGCGGTCGATCACTAAGAGAAATAACACGGGGAGGAGTTTTCAGTGCCAGTGGTTTCAATGGAGTAGATTGAAGAATGTCAAGGTCTGCTGGTCTGGAAAATGGAATGTCTTCACTATTACCTGCAAGAACATCAGTTGTCAATAGCAAGTAAACAGTTCTGAGGCCTGAGGGCCAATGCTGAAGTTCAAAAAGACATCACAGCAGTTACTTCCCTGGCCCACGCCAAATAATGAAGTATAACTTTCCTTAGCAGGTCTTGTATGTTAAAAACTATTGGTAAAGCTCTCATAAAGACCACATTATTGACAATTATTTGAGCAGTTTCTCTGGGAACAACGATCCTGAGTAATCCTGAGCCACATCAACTGCTATTGCAAGTGAGAGCACTCAAGACAAAGTCCTGTTAACGGTGTATTTGACTGGGGATGTCAAGGCATAAAATATACATGTCACACATTTTGCAAATTGCAAGACCTTCAGCAGTTCCAGGTCTGTCACTGTAAAGCCCATGACCATAAATACTATATTGATAGAGTCCACCCAATAACAGATAGGTTCTTAACATAATTAGAATTATGATTATGATCAAACACATTTCGCATGACTAATATATACAGCAGATCCCCAAAAGTTGTTATAGTTACTTTACCTTATAGTTAATTAATAAAAATTAGGTGTAAATCAATAAACATTACCTTTTTTCCTCTAAAAATGGTTTAGTAAGATGAAATGTCAGCAGTTAAACCTTCTATGCATAATTAATTCATTAACTGTCTCCATTAAAAGCTACACCAAAACTATTAATAAAACACTGTCAGAGTTTAAGAAACTTCCTATGTCAAAGTTAATGAGCATTAACTGTTTGAAAACCAGAGAGCATTTTACAGGTTGTTCTTTTAAAAATGCATCAATATATATTTTTTTCCATCCAGAAATTTGGGAAACTAATTTAAATTTTCACCTGCATTGAAACGCGGACATACCTGCCACTACAATCCGCTCTGGAACCTGCATAGTTACACTGGCATTTGGAAATCCTTCTGGGATGTCCTTTTCCAGGTCAGCATTTTGAGGAGCTACTTTGAGTTTTTCGGGGACCCTCATGCGCTGACTGATCCCTTCTGTGTATTCCATCTCATACTGGAGGCGGTTCATTTCTGCCATCTCGGCAGCTGGAGACGGGAATGCGGCTCCACTCATTCTGCGAAAAGAAAACCAAAAACTCTAAGAGCAATACAGGAAAGCAGCAGAAAGTATGTAAAGGAAGTGCTTTGTTCTTATTACTAGGCAGGTGGTAGAGACTTATTTAAAGAAACAGTGCAGTAAAATTCATAGGAAGTGTAGTCTCAAAGTGCTGAGAGGTGCAGGTGATGAAAGAAGAACAAATTGATGCTGCAGACAACGCTCAGAGCTGCACTGAGGGTCCTCAAAGTGAGTGAGCCACGACAAAAAAACCCCAAACCTAGAAATTCTGCATGTAAGGGATTATTCTTGCACTGGCTGGCAGAAAAAGAAAGACAAACAACCAACAAATCCCTGATAGGATTGATAGGAAATCTATTCAGAATTGGCAAGAAATCTAAGTTGTTGGTTTGCATTTACACAAATCCAGAAAATGGCTGAAGCCTTACAAAACTGCATGTTGAAACAGTGGAATGACAAAAGGCTCAGCTTGGGCAGCAGCCTCCTGCTCACATTCAGTCATCCAGACCTCCCCCCATCTCACAAGGACAAAGTTCCTATCAACAGCCTGTCAAATCAGCTTGAACACTGAGTACATTCACAACCATTCCCAATCACATCAATTATGTGAACTTCTCACGTCTGTTTTTCTGTAAATTAAAATCTTACTTTTGCAGAACTGATACAAGACGAGGGCAGAGAGAACAAGACTTTATTTAAATTTAAAAGTGTTTGCCAATACTTTATAGATACATTTTCCTAGAAGAGGAGGGGGATTTCAACTGAAGCAGTGGGGGAGTTTCCTAGAAACTGGGCTGTGAGAAACTGATGTATTTGTTATGAGCTGTGTCAAAGACCAAGATAACTGGGGTTTTGAAGATGGATTTAAGGTTGAGAGAAAAAGAAATCCTAGAGATGCACATGGAGGTGGGCTGGGAAGGGGCTGCTCATGGAAACTGCGGGCTGGAAAGGAACCTCAGAGGGCTGGGAGAAGTTGTTCACCTGGGCAGTGGCTGGTGGACCTTGCTGATGGCTCATTCTGAGATTATGGTTATGGACTCAGCTAAGAGAGACATTCTAAAGCTGCAGTTGGAGTGGGGCTGGAAAGGGGCTCCCAGAGTAAACAGTGAGCTGCAAGGAATTGGTTGTGGGAAATTTTTTATCCAGGCAATGGCTCAATGGCTGGGGGCCTTGCCAACAGCTCAGACTGAGATAATGGTTATTTTTAGGGTTAGGATTGGAAAAAAAACCCCGTTTCTAGACATATATGTGCACACACAATATGTAAATACAGTTTTCCCAGCAAACCTGCTTGTGGGAAGCATGGCTTACTGTAGCAGGACATCATTTAGTGGTGTTGCTTAAGCAGTTTCCTAAATGAAGTGACCTATTCTGGCAAAAAGGCAGGGTTTGCCACTAATATTGCAACTACATTCTTTTCCTATTTTTGGCAGCAGGGCTCTGTCTGTTGCTGTGTGTGCATTTCCCTGAGCTGAACATGCAGAACTCTGAGCCTCAGTGTGAAGACGCTGCGTGGCAGGTGAGGCAGCCCACAAGCCCTTCCTCCCACCAGCACACACAAGCAATACCTTCCAGATTTATCAATAAAACCTTGAACTAACAGTAACCTTCAGCCAACAGAAAGAAGCACACAGAAGGATCTGGACTGTGGAACACTTAAATGCACACACTGAGTATATTCAAGATGTGATCCACTTGGGAATCCATCCTGGGATCCTCAGCGTTATTTTCAAGACTTCCTATGACTATGGATCAAATGAAAGAATCTCATTAATCTCAAAGTCTCACTGGAGCACAGCAGGAAAACAAGTGATCAGGGACAAGGCAAGAATGTCACTGCTCTATGTAAACTTTAAAAAAAAAATACTTATAAAGAAAATACCTGAAAATTTAATCCATCTGTATTAATTCTCACTATTTGTATGTAATCAAGTGAAATAAAGTTAACCCACTTTGTTAGAAATAAACACTTTATAGGAGTTCAAGAGGTTCTTAAACTTCTCTGCCACTTCAAAGTTTTTAACCTTTCTCATGGAGTTTTTTCATCCTTTGATTTTGCAAGCTGGATTTGTCTCTCTTGCAGACATTGGCTGGATCAGCCAGTGACATGAAGAAAATAGAGTCTTCTGACATTTCCACATTCCAAACAGTGCTTTTCATTTGAAAACATTCTCTCTGATGAGAAAAGCATTCCCAGATCGAATAAAAATGTCAGAAAAAGAGACCAAATTTTAAGAAGAACCCAGAATATCGAGTGGCAGCACTTCAAGCACACTTATTGCTCGCAGGACTTGACAAAAGGTGTTTCAGTGCTTGCCCACATTCTCGTTTTGAAATACCTGTGCAGCTCTAATTTTGGCAATCAAGTATCCCTGCCCTGCAGCAGTGTTTGCACCACAGCTTCCCTACAACCTGGCATTGCTTTGGGACACAAGTTTACACCACAACTGTTTTCCAGCCGCAAGGTAAAACACACACAAAGCCATAATTAGAACAGTCACTTTATATAAACTATTTATACATTAAATAGCACTGTGTGGGTTTAGCTGTACTTTCCAAGGACCTACGGATGCAATACCTCAATGTCTTCCTACTCTTGCCTACTTCCTGTCTACTTTCAGTCACTGAGAACTGGATTTGCTGTCAAAGTGATTTCAGTTTTTACTCCTTTTTACAAGAGAATAGCAAAACAAGAAATGGTGAGATTTCACCAACATAAAACTTAAAATATTTTAATGGAGCTTGAGAACAAAACAAACTAATGTTTTCTGTAATGTCTTTGTTACACAAAGCATTTTACAGAAAAACATTAATAATAAATCAGGGATAATGAGGATTTTAAAATTGATATTTACAGACCTAGGTAGTTCTTAAAGAGGCATGAGAATACGAGTCTGAGAACAATAAGACAAAAAAATTACAATCACAGATACAGGATAAATAGACAGAAAGTAGCTGAAGTACAAATGAGCATCAGTGGCATTTAATGAAAGAAGGCAGGGAGGGAAGAAATCCAGAGAAGGACAAAGGAAGAGACAGCAAGAGGCAAGGGGTAGGTACCTCCTTCTCTCTCTCCTAAAAAAAGAACATCAACAGGAGAGATGAGGATGAAGCAATGCATAAAAATGTTAGGGATGACTCTTTGCCAGTATTCTGGCAATAACCAGGCATTGGTCATATCTGTGCTGCAACAGGGAATGTTCTGCACAGCGAGGAACCCGAGATACAGGATGAGCACTGGTAACAGTATATCTGTGCCAGCTATGAGAGCAGGGCACGTTTTACAGCCGACACCAAACTGTAACTTCTCCAGCTACATTACTGTTTGTTCCTGATGTGGTTACTTTACAGCTCGTCTGTTCGTGTGCGCATTAAGCTGCAAAGTGCTCCTTTGGCAAGTGTCCACATATCCTCAGACAGGAAAAAAGGGGAAGAGGAGGACTTAGAGCAAAGCCAAGGCACGAATGAAGGACCCGAAGTACCTATTACAGGATCCTAGAACTGTCAGAACACGTATCACGGAGGCGGCGTGGGGCAGAGGCTGTGCTCTAACAAAGCACCGACAGAAGAACCCGAGGGGAAGGAGCCCCAGGAGCAGCCAAAGCTGTTCTGCACAGCGCAGTCACAGGTGCTGAACTTCTAAAATACGCTGTCCCCTTTCCTCAGCACATGAACAAAACGTATCCATTATACACGAGGAAAGCTCTGCGGTCACAAAACACTAAAGGCTGCGCTCTTTCAAGTCTATTTTACTCCAGCTGAAGGTTTTAACACGAAATATTTTAATAGAAAATAAAAATACTGAGGAACGTTAGGAGAAAAAAACCGTCACTCCGAGAACCATTTCTCTGAAACACCCAAATATTCCCCGCGCTGCGGCGGCATTCAGAGCATTCCGCAGCAGGCCGGGGGAAGGTCCTTCCTTCCCCTAAGGGAGGGTCTCAGACGATAATGCCCGAGGGCAGAGGGGACTCCGCGGCCTCAGTGCCTCGAGTGTCCCCGTGAGGGCTGAGCGTCCAACCCCCCCGGGCCGCTGCCGACCCCCAGCGCGGCGCTGCTCCCGCTGCCGAAAGGCTTCCAAGCACTGGGAGCGCCGGGGACACACGGGCCGGGGGGCTCCGGCTGTGAGCGCGGAAAAGGGCCGGTCTGGCCCGCGGGCAGGCCGAGCCCCCCGCGCGCGAGCTGGGGCGCTGCCGCCGCGCCCCGGGCGGTCCGTACTCACCCGAGCGGCGCGGAGAGGCCGGGCAGCACTGCGGGCCCGACCCGGCCCGCCCGGGCCGGGGAGCGCCTTCAGGCACCTCGGCTCCGCTCGGCGCTCCGCGGGTCAGCCGCGAACGCGGCCTGCGCGTTCCCCATCGGGCTTCCGTAAGAGCCGCGCGTCACGTGGCAGAGAGAGGGCAGGAAGCGCGCCCGGCAGGTGCCTCACGTGCGAGCTGCCCCGGGGCATCCATTTTTGGTGAGGGCGGGGGAGCCCCGCGCAGGCGCACTGCCGTGTCCCCGCCAAGGTCAGAGCTCCGGGCCGGGTAACACCGCTGGGACAGGGACACACTGGGCCCTAACCTTATGCTACGGGCGTGGAAAGTGTGTCCAGGTGTGTGCTGAGAACAGGCACCGCAGGGCGCGTTTTCTCTCTCTGAGCTGCGGCCCTTTAAAAGTGACCGAGCGGCTCGTTCCGTCTCACGTCCTGCCGCCCGTCAGCTGCCCATGGGTCCCGCCTGCCCCATGGCATTAGGGACTGTGACAGCAAACCCCGCCGCACACCGGCTCCGACCAGCTCAGCCCCATCCCCTGACATCGCTAAAACCCCTCCAAGGGCACCATTAGCTGACCCTGCCTGAAACTGGCAGGTTCCTTCTTGAAACCCTTCCTGAGCAGCTGCTTCCTCGTGTTACAACTCAATTTTCCAGTCTCATCCAGAAAAATAAAATGAAAGATGCCATTATTACTATATGTAGCAGAGCTTTCCCCATCTTTTTGATTTATGGTCACAATGTTTTGGAGGTCAGAAGGAGTAGCGGTTCCAGAAGTATAGAAGGCGTATATTGATCCAAAGCCTGCAACGAGCTAATTCAGCTCTTTACAAATATCAACAGTGCTGTTTTACAGAGGCAAGTGGTCAGAAATATGATCTCTTACTAAATAAAAGTTGTATAACATTGAGAATTATACAGCAGTTGCCTTAAGATACATGATCTCGCACTTGGCCTCCTTCAAACCCAAGTTGCTGGCACATCTTACCAGGCAAACCTCATCATTCCGGATGAGGAGTCCTCAGTTTTACCTCTTCTCTAGGCTTTAAGATTTACAAACTATCAATATCAATAGGATTTCATCTTTAAAAGAAAAAAAAAAACCAAAAAACAAACTCAAACCCAAACCAAACAAAACCCCAAACCAAATGAACAACCCCCCCTAAAAAAACCAAAAGCAATTATAAGTAGTTTAAAAACTGGTTCTTCAAGCACAGTAGAAATATGGCCCATCTTCCGTTTTCACCACATATAATTTCATGTTGAGATCAATGATGTGACTTTTTGTTCCATTGAATATGTGACTGTTGTTAATGAAGTCAGTGGTCATGTAATAAAAGTGGTCACAGCCTAGTGGTCACTTGAGTTGTCCTCATTCACAGGAAATCCTCCAGTAGTATCACATTATGAATTACCACCAGGGGATCACGACTGCCCAGCCCCCTGTATTCTGTCCAATCTCCAGAAGAACTGAAATGCATCAGGCTCTACCCTTTCCCCTGTCAGGATGTTCTTTCCATTTTTTTCATTGTGTAGAAGTCTTAGCACAAGTAATTTTCTTTGACAGTTTGCAGATCCTGCTGCAGATGTCCTTGATTTTCTTGTTCAGTGATTTAAAAGGCCATCCTTAAGAGTGTTGCATGCAACACTCTTCTCTTGGTTTGTCTTTCTTATTTTCATGCTGAAATCTCAATAATAATTTTAGGTGGGCCCTCTTCTCTCTGCTGCACCCAGTCTGCTGGTACCAAACACCACCACTCACTCACTCCCCACACCCCACCCATCATGGGATGGGGAGGAGAATCGGTAAAGAAAAGAAAATAGAACTCATGTTGAGATAAGAACAGTTTTATATTAAAACAAAGTAGTATTAATGATCCTAATAATAATAATAATTGTAATAAAAAGGAGAGAGAGAGAGAAGGAGATAAAACCCAAGTAAGGCAAGTGAAGGCAATACAATTGTCCACCACCTGCTGGCCACTGCCAAGCCTGTCCCTGATCCACCATCCAGGTAACTTCCCCAGTTGATGTACTAGGCATGACATCCTGTGGTGTGGAATTGCCCTATGGAAAGTTTGGGGCACCCGTCCTGGCCATGCTCCCTCTCAGCTTTCTGTGCACCTCCTCACTGGCAGACATGGGACACTGGAAAGTCCTTGACTGAGAGTAAGCACTACAGAGCAACAACCAAAACATCAGTGGGGTATCAACACCAATTATCAGTTCTCAGTTCTCAGACTAAATCCACAGCAGCCCTGAACCAGCTGATAAGAAGAAAAAAACCACAGCTCATCACAGCATCCTATGTAGGAATATATCTAGGTAGTGGACAAGATCATTAGCTCTGGAAAGAACAACAACAAAAAAAAACTAACAGGAAATGGGTCTTTTATTTAGTCAAAATACTTTTATTTGGCTGTATTTAGCAGAGTACAGCCCCCATGGTTTGCTCATTATTTCCCATTTCTCATGCATCCATTCTTTCAGTACAATATATTAACACCTTGCACCTCATCAGCCCTTTCCAGTTAAGGCTCCCAAAGCATTTACAGACATGAGTTAACTAATCCTCACAACAATCGTTAGCAGTAGGGAATTAACATGATCTGCATCTGCAGAGAGAGGTTTACACCAACTTTTTTCAAGTTTTAATTTGATTTCCAGTGTCCAGCTTGTAGTATGCCAGGCTTGACGAACATGTGTCCCTGCAGTTGTATTTCATGCTTTGGAAAGAAAGACTGATCTTGAGCAATCAAAATCTAAAGCTATTTATGAACATCTTTCTTTAGTAACTTGTTGAAGGCCACACAAAAAGTGAGCAGCTGAATCCAAAACTGGGAGCAAGGCAGCGCTTCCAGTTCTGTGCAATACTATGAAACATAACCCTTTGTAACTTACCTTTTGGACTTTAAAACCACAATCTGTTCCCTTCTCCTTACACATTGTCCTCTGCTGGCCATTTCCAGCAGACTTCAACCTCAGGTGCTCACATTTGCATTTTACTAGCAAGTTTTACATGAGGGTTTCCAGGTCATTGGCTGTGTATCATATACAAGGGCCTTTGGGTGACTGTAATGAGCCTTAATGAAAAAAAGAAACCACTGAAACCACTAAAACCCCAACAACCTAACGAGCAACAGGTGTGGTCTTTAACTTTGAGTATTTAAAGCAATCTTCAGCATTTATGGAAAAATCTAGTATGTGATTGTTTTAAGGAAAACAACCTCAACCCCAAGCCTGGTTCAAATAAAGGACTAAATATTAACTTGACATTAATACCTTCTTATCAGTAGTGCATCTGCATAGAGATTCTTCATAAAACCCTGCAAATTCACAATTATACCTTGCAAACAGAAGTACTACGACTGTTCAAGCAAACAATAATTTTAAAATATCCATTCAGTCCATGTAAATGGTATCCTCACGTTTGCTCCATCGTAAGGTACTGGCATGGAACACAGACAAAACCTTTTCTTAGTTAGGTTAACACTGAAAATTCAAACAGTCAGACAAACACAATGCAAGTATTTTAACAGAAACAATATAAAATTTCACTGGCTTAAAAAACACCTAAATGAGAAATCTTGGTTATTTCACTGAATTGCTAGACCCTACATTTAAGTGGTGCATTTACAGAACTATTCAGATGAGTTAAGCTTCTCCTGTAACACTAAATACTGGAATTCTGATAGACTGTGCAAGTATTAAAAAATATTAACATTTTAAATGTCAACATTACAATTTTAAATAGCCTTGCAAGTGCAATGTTATAAATATTAAAAAAAAAAACTTCAGAGCTACAATTTTATATAAGTTATATGAGTAAATGAAAGTGCTTTTCAAGTATTTATGTTCATTTACAGTTGGATTCTCTTGTATAAGTCAGTGCTTAGATGGTACAATTTAAATATCAGTCTTTTTTAAAATTTTGGATGCATACATTTGTCTGGATGGAATAAATGGTTTCATTTCAGAAATGTATGATAAATATTTAAATACAGAATATAATTTGTGATAAATATTTAAATATGGACTATTATAAAATGGAAATATTATAGATTTTGTTATCTATTAAAAATAAAATAGAAAGAAATCACATCCTGATGGGTGATAACCTCATAATGCCACGGGAGCCCTTGAGCCATACAGTAATTGTTAATTCCAACAGAACCCAAAATTATGATATGGTAAATAGTTTTTCTTCGGGAGAGATGAAAGCATGTGATCATAATACTGTCAGCTTTTGAGGAACTTAAAAAGATCTCATGATCTAATCATGGAATCTAATGAAAACTTTCCATCACTTTCAATTAGTCAGCCCTTAGCCCCAGTCACTCTGGAGGACACAGCCAGTGCCTGTCCCCACTGTCCTGCCTGCCCAGTGCATGGTGTGCTCCCTCCTGGCCACTCAGGAACCATCATCAGCACAGTGATACAACGAAGATCAGATTCCTGTTTGCCAGCCAGAGGAAGGGTGAGGGAAGTGGGGAGATACTTGTTTATTAGACAAGAAAACCAAACCAAAACAACTCTCAAGGAATCATCATATAGTTAAAAGTGCACTGAAAATATTTCCTATTGAACCCTATCGCTCGTAAGTGCCAGATTGTCATCTTATTTAAATATCCACTTGGAACACTGAACATATGTAAGCTGATACAGGAGCTTTAGCTTGTCTTGCTGTTTGAAAAGCACATGACACAAGGCAGCATTAACATCTTTCATTAAAGATCTGGTGATGCTGTGGTTTTATCATGGAGATGCAGCTCAGAAATGCCATGGTTCAGCAGAAGCCCCTGCAGATTGCCTTGACAGGCTTCCTCCAACAAAGTGCTTTGTCATTTGCCAAACACAAAAGTCAAACTGTTGCCCTGCCTCACCACAGTGCTGCACTGGCAATTTATAATTTTCTCTCCAGACGCAGCTGGACTTTAATAAATTATAGCTCTTCAGAGTTAGGCAATTTTTTGTAATAAAAGCAGAGTTTCAGGTTCTATCAAGAGTGGCCAC